AATATATTCATGCTAAACTCAGTGTGATATTGTGTTTAAGGTATTGGATTATAAATGGGAAGAGACCAGTGGTGAAATCCAATTTTTTTTACTACCGGTTCTGTGGGCGTGGCTTGGTGGGCGTGGCAGGGGAAGGATACTGCACAATCTCCATTCCCACCCCACTCCAGGGGAAGGATACTGCACAATCCCCATTCCCTCCCCACTCCAGGGGAAAGATACTGCAAAATCCCCATTCCCTCCCCACTCCTGGGGGAAAGATATTGCAAAATCTCCATTCCCACCCCACTCTGGGGCCAGCCAGAGGTGGTATTTCCCAGTTCTCCGAACTACTCAAAATTTCCGCTACTGGTTCTCCAGAACCTGTCAGAACCTGCTGGATTTCACCCCTGGAAGAGACGGATTCTAATGCCTGCCACCCTCCAGCCACAGAAGCTCCCTGGGAAGCCTTGTCTCTTGAAAGGAGGGTCTGAGTTCTAAGAAATAATATTAATACAGGTAGTCTTAGATTTATGATGACTCATTTACCATCTTTTTGCAGTTATGACAGTGCTGAAAAAAGTGACTTACCACTAATTTGTGGGGGCAATAAGCTGACTTTGTATAAAAATATACAAAAGTATGAAGGCTATTGCTTAATGCATTGTAAGCCGCCCTGAGTCTCCGGAGAAGGGCGGCATATAAAAATAAATAAAAATAAAATAAAAAATAAAATAATTGGTCCTCACACTTATGACTATCACAGCATACCTGCAGATCATGATTTGAGTGCTTTTTAATTGGTGCGTATAGTCCTCGACTTACAACAGTTAATTTAGTGACCATTCCAAGTTACAACAGCATTGAAAAAAATGACTGATGACTATTTTTCATACTTACAACCGTTGCAGCATCCCCAAGGTCACATGATCAAAATTCAGACACTTGGCAACTGGTTCATATTTACGACGGTTGCAGTGTCCCAGAGTTCTGTGATTGGCTTTTGTGACCTTCTGGCAAGCAAAATCAATGGGGAAGCCAGTCACTTAGCAACCTTGTCACTAACTCAACAGCTGCAGGGATTCACTTAACAACTGTAGTAGCAAGAAAAATTGTAAAAAGGGACAAATTCACTTAGCAACAGAAATTTGGGCTCAATTGTGGTTGTAAGTCGAGGACTACCTGTATTTATGACAGTTGCACTGTCCCAGGGTCGTGCGATCACCATTTTTTGAACTTCCCAGCCAGTTTCCAACAAGCAAAATCAACGGGGGAAGCCAGATCTGCTTAAAAACCATGGCATAAGATGGTGTAAAATTAGGTCACATGATGACTCACTTAATGACTGCATCACTTAGCAATCGAAGTTCCAGTCCCAATTGCGGTTGTAAGCTGAGGACCACCTGTAATAGTTAATTTGAAAGGTACACTTAATATTTTTATAAAAACCAAAAACCTTGGCAGGGACATGTGTCATATATTTAGGTGAACGTTATTTTCTCTGTTTTTCTGACAGGGAATTTGGAGAGTTCCTCCGTTCTTTAGGTTCTGAAGTCTGTTTTAGGGGTATGCTATAGTGGTGGGTTTCAAATTTTTTTACTACCGATTCTGTGGGTGTGGCATGGCTTGGTGGGCATGGCAGGAGAAGGATACTGTAAAATTTCCATTCCCACCCAACTTCAGGGGAAGGATACTGTAAACTCTCCATTCCCTCCCCAATCTAGGGGAAGGTTACTGCAAAATCCCCATTTCCTCCCAATCAGCTGGGACTTGGGAGGCAGAGAATAGATGGGGGCGGGGCCAGTCAGAATGTTTACTACCCGTTCTCTGAACTACTCAAAATTTCTGCTACCAGTTCTCCAGAACTGGTCAGAACCTGCTGAAACCCACCTCTGGTATGCTACTGCTTTGGGCTGTATTTATACAGAAAGAGTCCAGAGAAGAGCAACAAAGTTGATTAGGGGACTGGAGGCTAAAACATATGAAGAACGGTTGCAGGAACTGGGTATGTCTAGTTTAATGAAGAGAAGGACTAGGGGAGACATGATAACAGTCTTCCAATATCTCAGGGGCTGCCGCAAAGAAAAGGGAGTCAAGCTATTCTCCAAAGCACCTGAGGGGAGGACAAGAAGCAATGGGTGGAAACTAATCAAGGAGAGAAGCAACTTAGAACTAAGGAGAAATTTCCTGACAGTTAGAACAATTAACCAGTGGAACAACATGCCTGCAGAAGTTGTGAATGCTCCAACACTGGAAGTTTTTAAGAAGAGGTTGGATAACCATTTGTCTGAAGTGGTGTAGGGTTTCCTGCCTGGGCAGGGGGTTGGACTAGAAGACCTCCAAGGTCCCTTCCAGCCCTGTTATTCTATTCTATTCTATTCTATTCTATTCTATTCTATTCTATTCTATTCTATTCTATTCTATTCTATTCAGCACATTTGCGTCAAAATCCTACACAGTACCAAAAACTTAATTAGCCTTCATCCCAAGTTTTGTTCTGTTTTGTTTTTCTTGTGTGTGAGAGAACTTAACCCATTTGTCAAGTTTACGGTTTAATGCATAGTGTGCAAAGTCACCCAAACAAGTTCAATCACCAGGTTGAATGTTTGCTATTATGCAAGGCTCTGGAATGAGGGCTGGGATCTAGCATTTGCAGGGGAATTAGAGTTTGCAAGGCGGAAACGCCAGAAGTGTTGCAAAAATAGATTTCCAAAAAAAAAACAAAAAACCCTGGAGCACAAAAGAAAAGAGATTCTCACTTGCAGGAAATTTTATGGCCAAGCACTATCATGGATCCTCAGCTCTCCCTCTAGATAAAAGGCTATAGGGCAGAGGCAGGGAAGGATGGCCCCTTTATGACTTGTGAACCTCAACTCCTAGAATTCCTAAACCAGAGACCTGGTGGCTCAGCAGACTGAAAGCACTGTGATTAACACCAGCTGTCTGCAATTACTGTAAGTTTGAATCTCACCAGGCTCAAGGTTGACTCAGCCTTCCATCCTTTCTAAGGTAGGTAAATTGAGGACCCAGTTTGTGGGGGCAATAAGCTGACTTTGTATAAAAATATACAAAAGTATGAAGGTTATTGCTTAACGCATTGTAAGCTCACCTGAGTCTCCGGAGAAGGGCGGCATATAAATCAAATTTTTTAAAAAAGGGCTATCGTTCCCCACCCCTGCCATAGGGCCCTGGCATCAGTTTTACTGAGACTTTTATACAGAGCATAAAAGGTGTTTTCCTGCCCTCCTCATAGTGGCTACTCCTTTTTTTCTTTGCACCTTTAATGGGGGCTGAGCTTCCTTGTTGATCAACTGGAAAAGCACCTGGCCCATGCCTCCAAGGCCCACTTGCCCCCCCCCCCAGCCTCCCAATCCTTTTCTGCCAGCACCTCTGCCCTTCCCAGCCCAGATGTCCAAGCATGATTTGCCTCTTCTATCCGCTCTCCAGTGATCTTTCCCTTTCAGCCCTGGTCTCCCTTTTCCTTTGAGTCCCCTTTGGTCCAGGGCAGCCTTTTCTTTCTTGAGCCTGGCAGCTACTAGCTTTTCCTTCTTGTGTGCTCTTCTCTTCTCTTGGCCCATCCATCCATTTCATCCATCCATCCATCCCTCTTCTCATGATCCATCCATCCATCCATCTCTCTTTTCCTTCTCTCCCTTTCTTTCTTCTCTTCTCTTCTCTTCCTCTTCTCCCATTCAACCATTTGATATCGTCTCTTCTCTTCCTCTTTTTCCCATTCAACCATTTGATCTCTTCTCTTCCTCTTCTCCCATTCAACCATTTGATATCTTCTCTTCTCCCATTCAACCATTTGATATCTTCTCTTCTCTTCCTCTTCTCCCATTCAACCATTTGATATCTTCTCTTCTCTTTCTCTTCTCTTCCTCTTCCCATTCAACCATTTGATATCTTCTCTTCTCCCATTCAACCATTTGATATCTTCTCTTCTCTTCTCTTCTCTTCCTCTTCTCCCAGTCAACCATCTGATATCTTCTCTTCCTCTTCTCTTCTCTTTTCTTTTCCCATTCAACCATTTGATATCTTCTCTTCTCTTCGTCTTCTTCTTTTCCCATTCAACCATTTGATACATCTTCTCTTCTCTTCCTCTTCTCCCATTCAACCATCTGATATCTTCTCTTCCTCTTCTCTTCTCTTCTTCTTTTCCCATTCAACCATTTGATATCTTCTCTTCTCTTCGTCTTCCTCTTTTCCCATTCAACCATTTGATACATCTTCTCTTCTCTTCCTCTTCTCCCATTCAACCATCTGATATCTTCTCTTCCTCTTCTCTTCTCTTCTCTTTTCCCATTCAACCATTTGATACATCTTCTCTTCTTTTCCTCTTCTCCCATTCTCCCATTTGATCTCTTCTCTTCTCTTTCTCTTCTCTTCTCTTCCTCTTTTCCCAACCATTTGATCTCTTCTCTTCCCTTCCTCTTCTCTTCCTCTTTTCCCATTCAACCATTTGATCTCTTCTCTTCTTCTTTTCCCATTCAACCATTTGATATCTTCTCTTCTCTTCCTCTTCTCCCATTCAACCATTTGGTCTCTTCTCTTTTCTTTCTCTTCTCTTCCTCTTTTCCCATTCAACCATTGATCTCTCCTCTTCCTCTTTCCCATTCAACCATTTGATCTCTTCTCTTTTCTTTCTCTTCTCCCATTCAACCATTTGGTCTCTTCTCTTTTCTTTCTCTTCTCTTCCTCTTTTCCCATTCAACCATTTGATCTCTTCTCTTCCTCTTCTCCCATTCAACCATTTGATCTCTTCTCTTTTCTTTCTCTTCTCTTCCTCTTCTCCCATTCAACCATTTGACACCTTCTCTTTTCTCTTCTCCTCTCCTCTCCTCCCCTCTCCCCTCCCCTTTCTCCTTCCCTTTCTCCTTCCTTTCCCCTCCATCCATTTGATACATCCTCTCCTCTCCTCTTCCTACTCCAAGGACCATTTTACTCGGGACGCCTCCCGGGGCATCCCTTCCCCGCTCGCAACCTCTTTGTCGTCGTCCCCGCCCCCGTCTTGCGCCCAGCCTCCGCCGCGCGCTCTGCCTTCCTCGCCAGCCCCGCTCCCGGGCACGGCTGCTTCCCTCCGTCCCTCCCTCCCACCGCCGCTCCCAGGCTGCTCCGCTGCTCGCCCGGCGCGCCCCCGACGCCTCCCAGCTCCTCCTGCCTGCCTGCCTGCCTGCTGTCGCCGGCTCGCCCCGCTCCTCCTCTCCGCCGCCGCCGCCGCCGCCGGTGCAGCAGCCTCCCGTGGCAAGAGGCCCGAGCGCGATCCCTTCTCCAGGACACCTTCTCCGGCCCGGTGAGGGGGGCGCGATGGCAACGAGCGCCGCGCTCTTGCAGCTGCTGGCCGCGGCGGTGGCCCTGGCTGCGGCGGCTCCTTCCTCCCCGTCGCCTCCGCCGCCGCCGCCTTCCGAGGACGCCGATCCCTTCGCCGCTCAGCTGGGCGACATCTCGGCTTGCCAAGCGCGCTGCGCCCAGAGCCTCCGGCAGAGCCCCCAGGCAGCCGCCGCCAAGGTAGCCGCCGCCCGCGGGGAAGGGGATGGAGAGGGAGGCTGGGGAAGAGCGCGGGCGGGGGGGGGAGAAGACATTTGCAGATCGACTATTTAAAAAGCCCCATAGTCGAATCATGGGAGAGATGATCCATCCAAATCAGTCCTTCCCCCCCACCCCCCCCACCCGGGAGATCTGTTCCCTCCCGCCCCAGCTGTTTCCCTTCCCTTCCAACGGGGAGGGGAGGGGGAAGGATCCCTCCCCCCTCCCCAGGCATCCATATTTCGGGATCTGTTATTTCTGGATCTGGATCCCGCACCCATATTTCTGGGCTCCGCATATCCGCAGCTACCTGTAATATCTGTGTGGCTGCGCGATCCACGCAGGAAAAGGCCAGGTGGGGAAAAACCTCCGCTGCGTTCTAAGGACGAAGCTCTGTGCGAAATGGGGAGAAGAGGGGAGGGGAGGGGGGACATCGCTAAGCTATCTTTTCCCCCCGACAGAAAATGGGTTGTTGGATGAAAGCGACCATTTTCCCCCTCCTCGCGCTTAAGAAAGGACAGATTTGCAAAAATTGAGATTTTTTTAAAAAAAAAATACAACACCCATTTTTCCTTTATAATTTGGAATACTTCTTTTACCAAGGGTATAATTCTGCAGCTGTCTTTCTTTCTTTTTCTTTCTTTCTTTCTTTCTTTCTTTCTTTCTTTCTTTCTTTCTTTCTTTCTTTCTTTCTTTCTTTCTCTTTCTTTCTTTCTTCCTTCCTTTCTTTCTCTTTCTTTCTTTCTTTCTCTCTCTTTTTCTCTCTCTCTCTCCCCCCTTCCTTCCTTCCTTCCTTCCTTCCTTCCTTCCTTCCTTCCTTCCTTCTTTCTTTCTTTTTCCCCCAGAAGCCTAATTTAGCTTTCCCTCTGCCTCTTTGGCTTGCTGGAGGGGTCAGTCTGACCCCTGACCCCCACCTGCCTTGGTGGACACCCATTTTATAAAGAAATTCTGCATTGCTGCATTTGAATTCAGCCTTTTATAAATGCCACATCTTTATAAAATGATGCGCGTGCTTGAGTTTGCAGTGGTATTTCCACTTGCCTGAGAGTAAATCCTATTGAACTCCAGTGAGATTATTAATACAGGTAGTCCTTGACTTAAAACCATTCCTTTAGTGACTGTTCGAAAGTACAAAAGCACTGGAAAAAAAGTGATTTGTGACTGTTCCTCGCACTTATGACTGTCACAGCATCCCTGAGGTCACAGGATCAAAATTGGGGCGCTTGGCAACTGCCATGCACACAGGTAGTTCTCGATTTACAGTTCGTTTACTGACCATTCAAAGTTACCATGGCACTGAAAAAATTGAATTATGATCATTTTTCACACTTACAACCATTGCAGCATCCATAGGGTCATGTGATCCAAATTCAGACTCTTGCCAACTCATATTTATGACGATTACAATGTCCTGGGGTCATGAGATAACTTTTTGTGACCTTCTGACAAGCTTCACTTAACAACCGGATTATTAATGTATCAACTGCAGTGACTGAGTTAATAATGGTTGCAAAAAACGTTGTAAAATGTGGCAAAATTCCCTGAACAAATGTCTCACTCAGCAACAGAAATTTTGGGCTCAATTGTTGTAAATCGAGGTCTACCTGTATTCATGAAGGTTGCAGTGTCCCGGGTTCAAGTGATCATCATTGGCAACCTTTCCTGGACGATTCCAACAAGGAAAGTCAAAGACGGATTCGTTTAAAGACCACAGCAAAAAGTTTGTAAAACCGGGCCTGACTCACTTAACTGCATTGCTTAGGGATGGAAGTTCCAGTCACAAATTGTAGTCGTAAGTGGAGGACTACCTGCACTGCACCTATATTACATTTCAAAACAGTGTTGGAAAAGCGTGCAAGCTGTTTTTCCAGGTCTGCGCATGCTTACATACAAGCAATTATAAGCTGCATTCGGCATATTTTACTCTCGTGCAAAGCAGGGCTGAGATTTTGCCCTTTTCAGCCCTCCGTTTCTGCAGTGAAATAAAAATTCGAAACCCTGTTCTCAAGGCCAGCATTTCAATGAAGCTTGTTCCCATGCAGGATGGAGGGTCTTAAATCACATTTATCTTCTGCAATAGATATGAAGGGATTTCCTCTCTGTCTCTCGCCAAATTGCATCCGTCATGCTCAAATAATGCCATGTTATCCTGAAGGAATTCATAATATGAGATGTGGGCATTTTTTAAAAAAATAAACAAGTGAAAGTCCTGGGACATGCTACATTTCTTCTTCTTTTTTTTTTTAACAACCGGCATTCCTTGTTGGAGAAATTTAATAGTCAGTCTGATAAGAGTTTTAAATTCCAAAGTGGGGTTTTCCAAATTCTGCTTCCAGTTTGGAAGCTTGAAGGACAGACAGCTTGGAGAAAACTATTTTTCCTGAGTGGCTCCTGGTTAATTATTTTATTTACAGCACCTGCTTTTATGCCACTTAGATACAGAGTTGGAAGGGACCTTGTAGGTCATCTAGTCCAACCCTCTGCCCAAGCAGATCCTACATCAGGGGTGTCAAACTCAATTTCATTGAGGGCCGCATCAGGGTTGTGTTTGACCTTGGGGAGCTGGGGTGGGCATGGCCAGGGCAGCCCCTCAAATATTGGAAGACTGCTATCATGTCTCCCCTGGTCCTCCTCTTCACTAGATAAACCATGCCCAGTTCCTGCAACCATTCATCATATGTTTTACCCTCAAGTCCCCTAATCATCCTGGTTGCTCTTCTCTGCACTTTTTCTAGAGTCTCAACGTCTTTTTTATAGTGTGGTGACCAAAAGTGAATGCAGTACTCTAGGTGTGTTCTTACTAGGGTTTTATAGAGTAGTATTAGTACCTCCTTTGATCTTGATTGTATCCCTCTATTAATGCAAGTTAGGATTGCGTTGGCTTTTTTGGCTGCCACTGCACACTGTTGGCTCATATTTAACAGATTAAATAATTATGATTAAGCAGCTCCCAAGTCCTAGTAACAGTACAAGACTAAAGAGTCTGTTTGGTCTAGTGCAGGGGTCAGCAACCTGCGGCTCTGGAGCCGCATGTGGCTCTTTCACCCCTCTGCTGCGGCTCCCTGTCACTCAAAATATGTATCACAACCGCCAATGTGTGACACCTGCCGGCACATGATTTATTGAGCTTTTCGACTCCCAGTAAGCCAACCATGGATAAATCCAAGAAAAGAAAAGTTTCAGAAGAATACAGAATGTTTACATATGCTAGTTTTGTGGCCGCTCAAGAAATAGTCAGGCACGGGAAGGGTTTTGTGGCTCCCGGTGTTTTCTTTTCTGTGGGAAACCAGGATCCAAATGGCTCTTTGAGTGTTTAAAGTTGCAGACTGCTGGTCTAGTGGTTAAGGCTCCATGCTAGAAAGTGTGAGATTGTGAGTTCGAGTGCCGCCTTAGGCATGAAAGCCGGCTTGGATCAGTCCCTCTCTCTCAACCCGCCTCACAGGGTTGTTGTGGGGGAAATAGGAAGGGGAGGGTTTGTTGGATATATGTTCATCACCTTGAGTTATTTGTAAAAAGAATAAAGCGGGATATAAATAAAAAATCAAACAATAACTTGAAAGCTCTGTCAAACATTCAATAACACAAATAACATCATTATTTATGGGGGCACCTACTATCTGGAACGAGCTCCCCCAGGAGATACGGAGGATCCCAGATCTGCGTACCTTCCGTCGCACGCTTAAGACATTTTTATTTCATCAAGCTGGCCTGACCTAAGTCTTTCCCCTTTTTAAATGGAAATTTTAAATCTGGTTTTAAATTATTGGGGTTTTAAATTTGTTCAGCCAAATTATTTAAATTCGTTTTAATCTATTTTAAATTTTGTATTTATATGTTTTATTTCTATGGCTGTTCACCGCCCTGAGTCCTTCGGGAGTAGGGCAGTATACAAATTCAATAAATAAATAAATAAATAAATAAATAAATAAATAATACTTATCCCAATTCTTAAAAAAAATCAGAAAAGATGCTATCACATATCTTCAGAAATCATGAATAGTAGGAAGTACACCTTTAAGGACCTCTGGCTATATAGCCCTGGGGCCCTGAATGCATCTTGAAAAAGCAATATTTTCAGGTGTTTACTACCCTGTTTCCCCCAAAATAAGACATCCCCTGATAATAAGCCTAAACGGGCTTTTGAGTGCATGGCAATAAAACCAAGCACCTATTTCAGGGTTCAAAAAAATATAAAACAGGGTCTTATTTTCAGGGAAACACGGTAAATATTAGAAGTGAGGGCCTGGATCTTATACAGGTACGGTAATCCTCGATTTACAACAATTCATTTAGTGACCGTTTGAAATTGCAACGGCACTGAAAAAAGTGACTTGTGGCCGTTTTTCATGGTTATGACCATTGTAGGATCCCCGTGGTCGTTTGATCAAAATTCAGATACTTGTCAACGACTCATATTTGTGACGGGTGCAGTGTCCTGGGCCCTGGGGTCATGTGAGCACCTTCTGTGACCTTCTGATAAGCAAAGTCAATGGAGAAATCAGATTCACTTAACAACCGCGCTACTAACTTAACCACTGCAGTGATTCACTTAACAACTGTGGCAAGAAAGGTTGTAAAAACAGGGCAAAAGTAAATTATGTCTCACTTAGCAACAGAAACTTTAGGCTGAATTGTGATTGTAAGTCGAGGAATACCTATATTTGTCAGTTGAAGGGGAGAGAGGAAGTTTCGGTGTCCTTAGGCCAGTCTCTCTCTCTCTCCCTCCCCCCTCCCTCTCTCATTCTCTCTCTCTCGCCATCTCTCTTTCTCTCTCTCTCCATCTCTCTTTCTCTCTCTCTCCCTCCCTCTCTCTTTCTCTCTCTCCCTCCCTCTCTCTCTTTCTCTCTCTCCCCCTCCCTCCCTCTTTCTCTCTCTCCCCCTCCCTCTCTCTCTTTCTCTCTCTCTCCCCCTTCCTCTCTCTCTCCCCCTCCCTCCCTCTTTCTCTCTCTCCCCCTCCCTCCCTCTCTTTCTCTCTCTCTCCC